TCCTAATGCTGTCTTTTCACCACAGGCATCTGCAGCTCGTGTGGCAGAGTCCTTAGACTTTGAGGAAGAACCCACAGCAGGAGGTCAGCAGGGAAGCGATGACGTGGGGGGAGTTTGGACTGGGGAGACCCCTCTATACTCTACACACCACCAAATGATTTTGGGGGCCCTGGGAGGCAGGGACTGAATCCCTGTGGGTGGAGGTTGGGGCAGAAGAGGGGCTGCTGGTGAGGGTGGGAAGTGGGCAGTAATGATGCGTTCACCCAATTTGCATTACAGGCTGTGGAAACCTGGGACTCTTCTGCCTTGTACTTGCCGTTGGCTCAGAATTGATCAAGTCTGGGTCAAACTCTGTAGCAGATTACTACCCCTAGTTTAGATCAGTCCATAGAAAGTCAGAGCAATGGCCTTGACACTGTTAGAGGATTGGTGCAAGGGGATGGACCTGGACCCCAGGAAGGCCCTGCTGATTGTGGGGATCCCCGTGGAGTGTACTGACAATGAAATTAAAGAGACTATTAGGGCAAGCTTACAGCCCTTATTCCCATACAGGCTACTGGGAAGAATGTTCAGAAGGGAAGACAATGCTAAGGCAGTCCTCATCGCACTGGGAGACACTGTCAATTATGCTAAGACACCCAATCAGATACCAGGAAAAGGAGGTGCCTGGGAAGTGGTGGTAAAACCCCGTAACCCAGATGATGAATTCATCAATAGATTGAGTTACTTCCTGAAGGATGAGGGCCGGAAAATGACAGATGTGGCCAGTGCCCTGGGGTGTGCCCTTCCCACTGAGGACCAGGAGCCAGGCGATGTTCCCCCAGAGAAATCCACAGCTTCGCAGTCTGAGAAAGAAAGCATGTGGTACAGAAAAGTCAGAATATTTTCAGGAAACGTCTTTCCAAGCACAGGCGAAGAGAACTTTGAAGCCTGGCTGGAGCAGGCCACTGAGGTGATGCAGGTTTGGCAAGTGTCTGAGACAGAGAAGATACGACGTTTGCTGGAGAGCCTCCGTGGCCCTGCCCTGTCCATCATGCGGGTGCTCCGGGCCACCAATGACTCTATGACTTCACAGCAATTCCTGGATGCCCTGGAGCAGATCTTTGGGAGCAAAGAGGACTCTAGAACCGCGCAGTTTAAGTTGCTCCATACCGTTCAGAAGATTGGAGAGAAAATCTCTATGTTTTTGGTGCGCCTGGAGCACGCTGCTGCAGAAAAGCCATGCAGCACAGCCCCACAGCAGCACAAAGCGCAGATTTGATTCGCCTGAAACATGTCCTGTCTCGTACCAACCTG